AAATTTAAATATGTATTGTTGAATATATATGTGAATATGTATATACAAAATGTACAAAACTTTGTACAGTTTAATGATATACCTATGGATGTAAGAAATAGTTCTGTAAAAAATAAAAATATTATTTAGGATTCAGGAACAGCTGTATATATTCTTACTCCATGCATATCCTTGATTTCTTCCTTCAGTGCCTATAGAAGCAATTATAATAATAATAAAGGAGTTTAATAATGTATCAATATTTCATTAGCAATATTTCTTACTTCATTAATTAATCGATGTTGCTTGATGGTGTTTAACCCTTTAAATTCAGGAGCAATAACATTTATTTCAAATATTGCACCACATCCATCTAAAAAAGTAAACTGTAAGTATTTTTTTAAAGTTCAAAAAAATGTACAAAATGAAAAGAATGCTTTTAATGAATATCATAGAGTAAGTTAGATAGATTAAATTGAATAAAATACATTTTTGGTATTTCTTTCATTTCTATTTTCGAATTATTATTTAAGTATTAAGAAAGAATTAAATGTTTTATGTATTTGGAGAAAAAAATAGAATTTAAAATAATAAAATAAGTATTCTTTTCATATTCAAATAACTAGGACACGTATTTACAACTTTCTGTAAGAACTGATTATTCTCTGGTAATAATTAAGAAAATCCTGCTTGAATAAAACTAAGTCATCATGATGAAAACATATGATGTAGCACATATTTTTTTTGCCATTGTTTTACCTGACACATCGCTTACTTCAATAAGGTTGGCTTTAGGAAATTTGTTTCTTAAAATTGATGTCATTTTTTGTTCAGCTTCTTTGCCAGCCAATCTATTGGATCTATTAGATCCGTTCCATACCCTTGATAGAAGCTGTAAAACTTTCATTTTATTCATCTTTCGCATTCTTCAAGGTTCTGTTTTATTTGTTTGTGTTTTAATGTTTTGCATAGGAAGTATGGGAGAAGGAGTTCCAAGTTTCTTGAATGGTGAATAATGAACATCTACTAAGCTGGTTTTAGCATGTTAACGGGAAAAATCATATGTATGATAGTTTCTCCAATTATCAAGAGAAAACGTGTTTTGTACCTACCGATATATTACGAAAATTTGACAGAAATACACGACCGAACATAGTTAGTACGATACGTCGCGTTAGTTTAAACTTTGTTTGTTTCGATATACGAAATTTATGATGTGACAATTTTTCAGTGAAAAGAATTGAACAACGAGATAGTCAATAAAAACCACATGAGTCTAGATATTTTACTTGACCAGCTGATTTCTAATGAGATCTATAGTGGCGACATCTATATAATGCTGAAACTGCAAAGAAAAATAAATTTGATACATAAAACAAAAATAAACGCATATAATTTGTTATGCAATCGTAAACGTTGTGTATATAACAATTGTATAAGAATCGAAGAAAGTTATAACCTCAAAATTCTAAATTGTAGTACAAATTACACATTAAGATTCAATAAAAATTTGTTCAATTTTAACGATATTTTTCTAACCGGCTTGCATTCGTATGACAGAGTTCACTTAATTGAGAATAAGTTTATTACCTATATTGTGTATTTTATCTACTCTAGATTCTACGCATTCAAATACGACACTTAACCCTACTTCGACCGAAGTCAGAATAGGGCCTATTCTCAAGGTGGTGGGGCGTGGATTACAATCCTAACAGTATAAAAAGAGTATTATAAATTAAGTATGAATACCATATATTAATATTCCAACTATTATAAACAAAACTAAACTAAAGCACAGATCTTGTCTGACTTAAAAAACGAAGTAGGGAAACAAAAATTGCTATGAAAGAATATATCATTTTATAACTAAACAAATATTTATTTTGATTTCTCAATTTAGATTTTTTAACGAATTAATAACATAAAAAATCAGTTTAGGATAATGTTTGTAGTTACAATGTGTTCGTACTCATGCTAAAAGAGCAAATGAACTTTAAATTTCTTATTCTTTTACAGTAAGTGGAGAAAATATTAAATATTGTATTAAAGATGTATACAAATGAATAACCATACGTTGAACATTATTTAAATGAATGTTTTTTAGCCAATAAAATATTCAAAACTATTTTACATATTTATCGGTGTCGTATAAAGTGAGGTTAGGTTATTTCTTGCTGACTAATTTAGCTTCCGTAATCGAAATTGAAGGCTATTTTTACTCAGTGTTGTATCATAATCAGAATCGTTTTCATCCATGCACTCAAAAAGTTTGTAGGTATTTTACTGATATTAAATACAAAAAAATTGTATTGCTTTATTGCTAACGAAATGGATAGATTTAGTACAAGACACTCGTCTAGTTCTACAATTTACGTGTTTGAGTAATCTTGTACATAACAAAGCCCACATTCTGATGATGTAATCAAGACAACCTTTCCTAAGATTTCGTAATTTTCAACCCATTAAAAACTACGAAATGGCTACACAACATGTAACATTGTCCTGTAGATTAGGCTAATGAATGATTCGCTAGCTTCAGATAAATGCGCACATAAACACATATATTGCAATAGGAAATCGGGAACACGCGCGTATGCGCACGCACGATAAACTTGGCAAAGGATGACGTAGATTAACACAGGCTCGAGTGTAACCTTGATCCGTACATTGCAGCCTCTCTCCCTTTACCCTGCGACCCCTGATCCTACTATATTGACCAAGCTTAACCCCTTCAGGAGCAAAAGAGCGGAACTCACGTACGATCCAAGGTGTATGACGTGTTCTTCTTTGAAATTCATATTTATCGCAAATCCAATGATACGTTGTAAAAAACTACAAAGTAAAATCATTTCACCTTACGCTTGAACAGGGTTTTCTGAGGGGGCAGGGGTTTGTGGAACAAGGAAGTGGTAAAGGTATTATCGATTCGCCAGAGCTCACGAGTTAACGGTTTGTTTACACAAGCGTGGGGGAAAGTACGCATGCGCTGCAGAACCAAAACAATAATAAGAGAGTAGACGGTTCGTGGCTGGCGGACGAGCGGTCGCTTGCTTTGGGTGTACGAACGTTGCTGTACCTTTTAATACGTATGTGAGCGAGCTAGTTCAACGATAAATATTCAACTTTTACCTCCTCTAGAACATTCGCTCGGTATTCGTTAAAATATCGCAACTGTTAGTGGACTTCTCGATTCTGAACGTAAACGCTGCAGAGCCGGAGCCAGGCTTGCGTCAAAACGTGTACTATTGTGCAACGTGTGCTCCAACCGAAATGTAATACGATCAAGGAACACAATGTTACTGTCGAAATAACTACGATCAAATGTAGAAAAGCAAAGAAGAGAATTTGTGTACGTTGAACAAATTAGCTCGCGCACGTGTGCTCTGTGTGTGTGTGTGTGTGTACGCGCGCGCGCGAGCGCAATGTGTATGTGTTGCGTGCATACGTGTCGGTAAGAGTGTATTCATTCAATTCTTCGAAGCAAAGCACGAGCAAAACTTGATGATTCGTTCAACATTCGAGAAAAGAAAAGCCTGAAAAGAAGGGGAAGGATAGATGGTGCGTATTTACCCAATGAATCACACGTTCCATGCGATTACGAGACGTGGCTGGTAGTTTAGACCATCTATGTTTACACGAGCGTTTCTAAATATGTTCGTAAACATCAACGTGTACGGCGAGCCGGAGAAACTGTGCGCACAGGTTGATCAGTATTAGTTACCTGTCGGATTGTGTACTAGCGACAGACGGATGTTTTGCTCTCACGAAAAGTAAAAAAAAAGAGGAAAATAAAAAAATTAATATGAAAGAACTTTATGTGGTGTATACAGTGTGAACATTTTGTGTATATCTACGACAGGAAAAAAAAAGAGAGAGGGAGAAAGAGAAAGAAAGAGAGAGGACAATAACACGTTGGCTGAGAGCGTGGCTTTATTGTGCCCGCTGTTCGCCCGTATCGCAGACGTGGAGGTGTAAACACAACGTTCGTGCCATTGTCCTTTTGTTCTCGTAGCCAGAAAACGGGGGAAAGTACGCTATGCCGAGCGCCGAAGAAACAACATACTTGATCGAAGTGGTGCCCGACACGACTCAGGACTTCCTCTCGAGGGACGTAGATCTCCTCGTGTCGCAAATCAAGGAGAATCTTCGGTTGTCCAGTCTGAAGTCTAAGTCGAGCATCAGTCATAAAAATCGACCGTCGCCCTATCAAATACCATCGAGATCGTGGGCAGATCCAAATAACTGTGAGATGTGTGGCACGAAAAACAGTGGCCACGATCATCGGCATCACCTAAGTCATCATCATTATCATCATCACCATCATCTTCATCATCATCTTCATCATTCTCACAAAAGAAATGCTAACAGGGATGACGACCCATACGAGCTACTACAGGAGTTGCTCAGGGAAGGAGGTCTAATAAAAGAGGCTGTGAAGAGACTTCAAGCGAATCTCGACGTGCTGGACAATTCCGAAGAGGAAGACGATGACGAGCACTCGTCGACGGTTTACCGAAGGAAACCGTACTTCTACGACTCCGAAGATGAACAGTTACCGCCGGTATACGAGCCACTCGAGCTGTGAAACTGAATTATTGTGTACCCGGCTTCCGTCCGGTTTGAGATGTAACAGAGAGAAATTGTTAACGGTCGTTCTCGTTCCTCGATTTATCTTTCGATAATATCGTGTTTATACACGTGAAAAAGAAGTGTTGTCAGGTGAAAACATTTGCCTGTCGAACGAAACGTTGTGATTCTCATCGAAAGAAAGTACAATAATGAGGTAAACATAATTAGCCAAGAACTCGCCGTACATGGCCGTGTTTGTAAATATGGTATGTTGTTATTCGAACAGTTCCACGCACACAGCTTCATGCGACTTCGGCTAAGATCGCCGGTATATCGACAATCCACGAGGCTTACGTGGAAGACATGGCTGCCTCGATTCGAGCTCTCGGACTCAATTTACATGACAACACGTTCATCGTTTTTTTAAACTACGAGTTCGTCCCTCTTTGAACAAAGAAAAGAAAAGGAGAGTTCCTGAGTGCTGCTCGCGTCCAGGATAATAGAAGATGAAATTTTGAAAACAATGGTCGACGATGAAATTGCAAAACCGTCTGTGTACAAAACGTTTCTTTATATAGAAAAATTTGCAATTTCCCGTTTACATTGATCCTTCTGTAATTTTTTTAGTTAAAGCAAGTAGTTTGAAAACATGCGATTAGTGCAAAGTAGCTGCTTAAATGAGAAGGAAAGAAATGTTGCCCACTTGTGCGACCTAATGTGAATCAACAATGTAATATTTCAACATAGTAATTCGAAGTTTATTTGAATTGTGAAATACAAGAAAGAGCACGCGTATGTACGAAAAGTATCCTATAGGATATATTAGTTGAAAAATTCCGTTCGATTTGTTCGGACTGTTATAGTCCAGTTACTATTAGAAGAGTTAAGTAAGTAAATCGTCTGAGAATCAATCAACGAATTACAGAAACACTTTTTACGCGTGGAAGCATCGCAACTCGAAGGATAGTGATCTCATTTATTTGTTTTTATTTTTTGTGTACAAGGAACGAGCTGTTTGGTTTACGTAGGGTATCGATATGATGTTCGTTTGTTGAGTTATACCTGTATACATACTTTCGAATAAAGTTCCATAATTGCGCGCGCACATAAATCGTCGCCATTTTGTGCGTTTGAAAGTATTTAACAGATTTGGTTGGAGAGAGATAGCGAACCGGCTTGTCGTAAAAGTATGCGAGCGCATAAACCCGTTGCGATCAACACATAGTAGGTTTACATTCGCTCCACATATATTTAATACATACATATTTATCACTATCGATTGTTAGCGACGTAACAAATGCTGTACGCGCGTGTAAATTATAGTGTGCACATGCGTGTCCGGTTTAACGGTACAGTGTGATTCACTTTATAATATTGGAACTGATAAGTAAGCCTGGCGTGATAATCGATTTTGTAGTGTCGCACCCTACGAGAGACCGACAAAACGTGCACGGAATCACGCATTGTACAAATGTTGACTAGTTGATGACTGCAAATGTTGAGTTAGCTGTAGTTTTGATGAACACGTGATTATGCGAATGAATGAATGAATGAATAATTAGTGTTTTTCTTCGGTACATATTGTGTCGTGTGTGTGAACGATGATTGCATTTGCGTAAGTGTGAATGTGTAGACAATGAGAGATTTGTCTTTAAATCTACTGTTAAAATGTAAATTAAGGAAGCTATATACCTCGTTGTGATGGTCGGATTTGTCATCCGACGAACCTTAATAGTGAATAAATAAATATAAAATTTCATTTTAGACTATTTCTGTATTTTTCCCTAATTTCTTCAAAAGAAATGATCGTATAATTGAATAGAAAAAAACAACGTATCATAAATATTTTTTTAATATGAGATGCGAACATGTTTAACAAAATAATATTTTAAGGAAAGTTAATTTTTAATGAATATTTATAACAATCTTGATAGCATAGAAAAAAACTACTAAAATAGACAAAAATAAATATGTCAATATTTCAAAAGTGTTTGCAAATGTTTCATATACAGTTTATAGATAACAATAATATTACAGTTTGATGAAAACAGAACAGAAATTTTATCAGTCATGATTGTTTTGATTGCGATTATAAGGATCAGGTTATTTATCGGTGATTTTTATTTGTTTTATTAACTCGGTTTATAGATACTATTATGTAATGAAAGTACTGTTATGACATCAAGAAATAAAAATGGAAAGCTGAACAAAAGACAATTTATTCTTTAATCTAATATTACGTCCATTAATGTTATCAAAAATATGCTGAAAACTTGGATTTCATTGATATGACAGAATTAAAGGGAATAATTGCAACAATAATTTTCGATTAAATGACGAACATGGTTAGACTGAGACACTTGCGTCATCTCTTAGAAATAGATGATAACGGAAATGTGTATATGTAAATAACGTATGCGATTAAAAATAGTTATAGTTAAAATTATTCTGTCTGTCGTAAGTAGTGATGTGCATACACATATACACGTGTATACGTTATCAATAACATCTTTCTTTTTTAATTACAATGTATCGAATGATGCCGATTCATTGATTACTCTACAGCAATCAAGATCTGTTTATGAACAACTGTCAATCAAAAAGTATAGCGATGGAAATCGACCTTGTCATGATAGAAAAACACGTTTTAAAGTAAGAAGTCATGTGGTCCAGTTACATATAAAGTCATCGGATCACGTAACAGAATCGTATCTTTAAAAACCGAATAAAGCTAACCAGTTGCATTATATTTAAAAAAAAGTTATTTCAATATATAGATAGGAAATAGTATTGTAAAACATTGTAGGTATTAATAAAATTAAAAAAGTAAATGTACATTACAGTCATGTAGGATTAAGTTTATAACTACTATAAATTAACTATTTGTTTCAATTTTCAATAAAAAATATTGTTCATTTTTTATATTTGTCTCTATTTTCAACATTAACAAAATAATTTTTGTTATTTGAGAATTTAGTTACACAATCGACAGAGTAGGTTACTTTTTATAAATAAACAGTATTGAAACCTTTAAAAATGAATTTTTGAAAATAAATTATATATTTGTACGTCAATTTAATTTATATAAGACAGTTAATGAATTAATCAAATAAATTTTCTTCGAATTCGTAAACAAGTATTCATTTTAATTGCTAAATGAAAATCGTGCATAACATTAAATATGTGAATTTCAAAGTTAAATTTTAAGAAATAATAAGTCATACAATTTGTCATTTAACGACATAAATAGTAGCAATATGTTTTGAGTATAGTTTCTACAGATTAATTACAATATAGTAAATTATTATATTTTTATGCTTGAAATAAATTTATATTATAATAAACAATAAATTCAGAATATAACACGAAAATGTGATAACACAACACAGAAGACCAATGAATCATTATCAAACGTTCCTTTTAAACGCGGAAAAGTATGTAGAATGTTATTGGTCGGTTCGAATTCTTCGTGTGATGTATAAGTATCGTCAGAGATAAAAGATAATTAAATGGGTTGTGAAGCGTACATTCACGTAAGGAGTGATTTTACACGATTTAACGAAATTTTTGTATGTGAATATTGTACGAAATATTGATTTCGTCACCGAAGTATTATTAAACTACAAAGAAAGTTCTACTATATTGATGTCAACAAATCAACAAATGACAGAAAGTAACATGACGGAAACTACGCATTTGTATGTATAGACATTTTATTGGCTGTTACTATATTGCTATTATCATGCACAAATTGATTGTCGTTAAATATAAATATACGGTTGTTATAATAATATCAACAAATTATTTGTCCAATGTGTTTTAAATATTTTATTACTCCTTATTCCTTAAATACTCTTTTTTAATTTGTTTCCCTCTATTGCAATACTTTTATAGTACAGTGTTATTTCATTGGTGAAATAATTATATAATAGTAATTCTGTTGTTGTTTTAAATATAATAGGCTTTGTAATATGAAGCTACTATTTTCAACTGTCATTTTTAACCAAATTTGGAGGTTATGTAAACAATTGTTAACTCTTTTCATGCGCATATATGCAGCCATATGGAAAAAGTTTTTTGAAATCTATTTCAACTTTTGTTTTTATTTTTTTATTCTATGTTGAACAGGTCAAATAGTATGAATATCGGCTTTAATGCACAAATTGATATATGGAATTATAAATTGTTATATTAAATGAACATTTTTCTTATGCAACTTTTTTAAATATTTTATTTCATTTTCCATGATTTTATGATAGCGTAGAACATAAATATTTTTTAAATAAAAGTGAAATTCAGAAATTAATGATGGCAATAATAGTAATTGTATTAAAATTACTTTCTTAGTTTTAATTTTATAAAGTGCTGATTACCAGTTAACTGCTGGAAATCTATTGATATTAGATTATATGTTATAGATAGCTGATTATTGATAACCGCATACCAATTACCGACATTAATATTACTTTTAAGTAATTTTTTGCTGAACTGTTATTAATTATGATTATGAGCCAAGTTCTATAGTTCGGAATTTTTTGATTACATCTTTTTGCTTTTTTTGCAAAGAATTAAAAAATGTTTTTGTTAATTTACAGCAATTAAGACTAAGCAGAAAAAATATTAATAAAATTCATGTTTGTCAAAAATGACCAAATTAATATAATTGTTATAATTGTAAAAAAATTGTAAATGTATTGAATAAATTTAGTAGTAAATTATTCTCATTATTATTTTTAATTTCTCTTTCCCAAGATTATGTGCTTACTACTAAGAACAACATTTATCTGATTTATAACATTGCAATTATATAATCTTATTGTTAATATTACTCATTATGATAAAGGTGTGTTGACTAAGTACTTGATCTACTTATTTTTGTAAAGTTATTATAATCTTAATAGAAGATTTAATATGTAAGCACATTTGATTGTATTTGTAATTTATTTTTTAATTACTACTATTGTTAAGATATTTTATGTCAAACTATTTAATGAGCTAGCTTTAAATCATAGTTTCTTCAGAAATCTTGTAAATTTGATAATGTACTTAATAGTATAATAATTTTTGTTATTAATTATATACAGGTAAAAGTTACTTTTAAATTTCTTAATTCAAATCAGATTTTTAAGAAAGTACTGTATTAACTTCTTTGTTGTCAATTTATTGGTATAAAGTGAACACTTATTTTTTATTATTATTCAATAAATATAGATATAATTATTTTAGGAATGGATTAGAATCTTGCTTTCAAAGGGGAAATCACACTTTTAAAGTACCTATGTCACTTTTTCGAAACAATCGTGAAAGATTAGTCACACGTGTTAAAGCAAATACAAAAATCCAACCTACAGGTACTTTTATTGTTCTTGGTGGAGGAGTTGAAGTTCCATTTAATGATACAGATATATGCTGGCCATTTCGGCAAGTAAGTATATTTTTAGTTGTACAGTATACTAATGAAACATAAATTTCATTTTATGTAATTTTTTTGGTAGGAATCATTTTTTCAATGGTGCTTTGGAGTAGAAGAACCAGGATGTAGTGGTGCTCTTGATTTAGCAACAGGAATCTCTGTACTATTTGTACCTAGATTACCAGCAGAATATGCAATTTGGGAGGGAAAATTACATACTTTAGAGGATTTTAAAAAAAGATATGGAGTAAATGAAACTTATTACACTGATGAGATAGTTAAAATTTTTAAATCAAAGCAAGCAAATCTTCTTCTTACCTTAGTATGTTTGTATTCAAAATGAATATTTTTTTATATTAGCTTTATTTACTCGATTTTCTTTTTTAATTTTATTTGTGCATTTAGAGTGGCCAAAACAGTGACAGTGGTTTGCAGACAAAAGAAGTAGTTTTTGATGGTATTAATCAGTGAGTACTTGCTTTTATCATATTATTATATTACAAAACATTTTTTATTTACAGTGTTATTTTTATAGGTTCAAAGTGGATAATAAAATTTTATATCCAGAAATATGTGAATGGTAAGTACTATAAAATTACAGATAATCAACACACGAAATGTAATTTTGTAATATTTTTAAAATAAGTTTGTAGTGCTAGTAATAATGTTTAACAGTTAATAACTTTAGAGCTATTTTAATTTAATGTCTT